TGCTTTGCAATTTCCTCGAGGGTAGTTCCGAGATACTGCTGGTGATCCAGACCAATCTTCCCTATAACGGAGATGATTTGATTCTGAAGGACGTTGGTAGCATCCAGCTCGCCACCCATGCCAACCTCGACTATACCAAACTCCACCCGTTCCTCAGTGAAGATTTTGAATGCGGTTGCGGTTAGTATTTCAAACTCTGACGCCTGAATGTTCCTCTTGCGGTTGACGCTAAGAAAATACTGTTCAACCTCGTCGAAGAGCCGTTTCTCAACCGGCTTTTGATCGATGCATATGCAATCCCATCTTGTAATGGTTAGAACCTTAACTTGAACTCACGTGACATGGAAGTTCCCCTACCTATCCATCAAATGTGGAGATGTGAAGAGGCCGGTTTTGATCTGCTTCTGCCGAAGCATGGCCGCCATGTACCCGCAAATCGAGCCTTTTCCATTTGTGCCAGCCACATGAATGGATTTCCATCGCAACGGGACACCTTTGAGGAGTAGGCTTATCCGTTCAAGGCCTGGTTGAATCATGGCCGGGAAGAGATTTCAGCGCAGCATCCGTTCAGGAGTTGATGAAACGCAGCGGTATGAAACACGATATCGCCGGTATTGATTTCAAGTTTCAGAGATGTAAGCGGTGGTGCTAGCAATTCCTAGAGGTGAGGGATGAGGATGATGTATGGGGAGCTCGGTGACTCAAGAGAACTGCTGGATGGCGATGGGAGAACCCGAAGCACACTAACCTGAAGGGGGTGTTATAGGCTTGGCAGTACGCGGGGGCCTTTCTTCCATCTGATGCGGGTGTTTGGCTGCGAACTCTTTGCACAGTGAAGACCCACGAATGCGCACATTAAAGGAGTAAAATAGGGTTCTATTTTGCTTATATAGTCTGTCTATTGTCGCTATCGCATTTTCTCGAAACTGAATAGCTATCGACACCTTTTCTCCAAAATTTATTCCCCCGTTCGTTCTTCTTATAGTTCTCAGCCTTCATTGTGGCTGGGCCACTTTCTCGCTTAACTCTAATTGGTCGCCTCGTCCCTGCCACTACCCTTCCCCTTCTGCCTACGTTCGTCTCCGCTCCGACTCCTTGCAAACCCCAAACTCTCCGTCCTGAGGCATCTCATCATCTTCAGCCTCTTCCATCTCCAAACAAACATCACAGCTCTCTCCGCTTATCCGCATTCCCGAGTCCTTCTCCCATTTTTCTCTTGAACTTGCGTCGTTGGGCCTTCTTTTCCGCGACGCGTCAACATGGGACTTCCGTAAGTTTTTCCGTCTCTCCGACCCTCGTTCCCTCGTTTGCTCTGCGCGGTGCTTTCGCGCTTCAGCCTCGCCACCCAGCTAGCAATAATAGCGCTTTTCACTGACTACTTTGCAACACAGACTTTGGCCTTTATACGATGACGAAGACACGAAAGCTATCACCAAGGTTGACGCGACCACTGCTGCCGCACGGTCTCCCATCCGCCGGCGGGTGCGTGGTTCGCCTGGCATCGGCAGTCGTCGCGTCCGGAGATCTGACGACGCACATGCCACCATCACTCGGACGCTGCAGAGATCTCCGAGGTTGAGCGATACCGATTTCTTGGTTTCTGGTCCCACGGCTGAACACTATCGCATCGTCGACGATGCTGGCCACCGTCATGCCCGACTGCGCTTTCCGCCTCCGCCCGTTCCAGAGTCCAGAAACTTTACTCGAGACGAAGTCCGCGATAGAATCTACAATATGGCTCATGGTCCTAGGACGCAGGCCAGCAGAGATGCAGTCGATGCCATGCGTCGACGAGCGGCTGAGCATCGCGAACACCACCGAGTGGCTGACGAAAACCATGCATGGATGACATCAATCTGGGGACCTCTACCTCCGCTTTCGCCACGGACTTCAACGAACATGTCGAACGTTTTGCGCCGCAATGTTCGTGATCTCCCCGCTTTGACGCCGAATTTTGCACCCGCCGGACTTTCTAGCACTCGCGAGTCGGCCGAGGACGACTCGCAGGAGGAGCGTGGACCTGCTCCCGGACCAGAGTCCCGCAGACTGCGCTATCCAAGGAGTTCCGGTAGGATATTTGGCCAATCGCCTTTGAGTCCGGATATTTTGATCATTGAGGACAGTGAGGAGAATAGCGGTGATGACAATGCTGTTGGATTTCCACCACTCCGTCGCATGGGCCGTCGCGATATCGTAGATGGCCCTCTTCCCTCCAGTTCTCTTCGCGAATCGTGGAGTCCGACGACCACTCTTGATGGTTTAGGCGATCGCGAGCGTAGCTTCAGCCCTGTCGACGACCATTGGGAGACATTGCTCACTACGGTAGCCGAAGACCCAGTTGCCCCCACGGCTGATTCTTCTTTCACCTCGGCAGCTGCGTCCGCCTCGTTTTCGAATTCTCATTCCACTTCCCGGACTGGAAGTGCTTCGAACTCGGCATCATCGTCGCGGACTCATCTGACAGTCCCGTCGCGACGCAATTCTCGCAATGGCCTTTTGACCCGCGCTTGTGAGTCAGACGACGACTCGCCGTCGGATACAGAAGTTGAGAGTCAGGAGCCTAGCAATCTTCGCAGAGCCTCGACCTGGCGTAGGACTCTTCTACTGGCTGATGAACCACCGTCGCGAAACCCCGAGCGCTACTCTCGAAGTGTGAGAGATCGTTCTTCAGATTTTAGCCGCTCTGTTCGAGGTCTCTACTCTCGTCGCCCAGAGTCGCAGCTCCCATCTGCTGAAGACGACCACATCCGTCACCGCGCAGATTCAACAGAACAGGAGATGCAGGCCTTGGATAGAGAGTTGCAACAAGCGCGGGGTGTCCTGGAGAGGCTTTCCAGGCGAGTCGAAAATACAGACGGCCTTTGGGCTTATATTGGATTGACGCAGCCACTTGCCGATCGTTTTGAGCGGATTGAGCAGCAGCGTCGTGAGAGGTGAACAGACATCATCTCCGGCCTTTGACTTTACAAACTATATGACGAAGCTTCCCGCTGGCCAGGTGGCTTTGGAACTTTTACAAATTTAATTCTACTTCTTCGATTTTCTGTTTATTTAAGGACTTGTATGATTTACAGCACTACCTTTCTTCTGTAATGCTTTACTGAGGAGAGATTTTTTTGGTCTTCTACAACTTCTTCATCTTCTTCTTCGCTCTGCGCAACATCACCGATAATATGCTGCATTGGTTGGTCAACTGGGCTTTTCTTAGCCAGCGTCAACAGCTTTTCTTATTTTGTCGACATGTGTTTGCTTGTAACAATTTTACTGGAGGTCTACCCCTGGGCTGTAGTCTCCGGGTGGACGCGACGTGGATACACCTCACGGTTGAGGATTTAATGAGGATATGAGAGCTATGGAGTCTCAAGAGTAAGCAGTCTACGGACTATTCGAGCGACATGATACGAGTGACGGCAAATGGACTCCTAGGCTTTTCAAAGCGATCGGAGTTTGAGGAAGGTGTTCTACTTCCACGGGAGTGCCTTGAGTGCTTCGGAAAGGAATGGCAAAATCTTGCGACGGCACGTATGGCTTGTGCCTTGCTTTAGAAAATTTATGGAGGCGATTTTCATGTGCGATACTTTTCTCATCTTATGTTGCGATTGCGCAGCAAAGCGCGTAAATTGTGTTCAGCAGAAAGGGGCCTCGATGCAAAAAAAAAAGCGGGAGCGTTGATTGGATAAAACCCTGTACCTAAGACTTGCGGATGTTATATAAGCAAGCCGTATTAAGTAATGTTCAAAGCGCACGACTTCTGCACCCTCACAAAACTTGAGTTGATTCGACGTTACCCCAGCGTACCCGCTAGAATCGTGTCGAAACATAAAGCAAGGAATGCCTCACGAAACCTGCCCGATTAGGAAGGTTAAGCAACCGCTGAAGAAGGGGAGTTTTGGGAAGAACCCCTTAAGAAAGGCCACCCCCTGTGTAGGGGTAGAAGAAAGCTTTCATATACAATTCGTACGACTATATTGCCTTAAAACGACTCAATGGGTTCCCCTGGTCGCACACTGATTTCCTATCTAGACTTAGTTCACCCACTTTAGTGAGCAGCAGCTAATTCAGGGGAGCGGCAGTAAGTTTAGGGCCCAGCAGTCAGTCCGGATCAGCAGCAGCAAGCTCACTGAGCAGCAGCCAATTCAGGTAAGCAATGTAGGTGGTCCTTACTTCAAAGCCTGTATCGCCTATATTCCATCTTTAACTTGCGCCCCCCTTCTTTCTCGAATTCCCCTTTCTGTTTTTACAACTGACCAATATGCTTATTTTACGGTGCGTTCTCTGTGTTGGTCTTCTAAAGTGGACGTTGATGTCAAGCTTTCCTCAAGCGTTGGTATCGAGAAGGAAAGAAAGCCACAAGTGTGCGCCCCGTAAAAGCTTATTTCCAAGGACATGCCCTCATAATTCACAGCGCAGGCATATATAAGAGGTAAGTTCGCGCGATTGAGTTTTCCGTTAAGGGGATAATGTTGGTGAATCAAACGGACGTCGTGGAAGTTCAGTTTCAAAGTATTTTTAAAATCGAATCGACTGGAGGCCTGTTCTCTGTAAGCAGGCAACAGTGTAGAATATAGATATAGTTTGTCTTTATATAAACGTAGAGAAACCTGTGGTAGCGGGTTGGAAGAGGGCAGTATGCTTCGTTCTGTCTAATTATAAGTATCCTTTCTATTGATTGATTTCCGAAGAGTGAGAACCACGGGCCAGACGCACGAAGTAACGAGTACAAATTATGTCCTGATATTTAAATGCCTTATATCTTTTCACAATAATTACCTCTCCATCCTACAAAATGGAAGTTCTTCCCATCACCATTTTTGATGTTTCTCTAACCAGTCCAAACCCCTACACCTCCGCCCCCACAAACAAAGACGCCGGCACACTCTATTATTAGCCCACCATTCAACGCTCTTGATCCTGACAAAGACCCCTCACTTCACTTTTATTGTATAATTTCTTTATAAAAAGATTATTACAAAATTTTTTCATCAAAACTAATCAGTCCAGCCCGCGTGGCGCAATGGCTTAGCGCGCAGGACTTCTATCATCAGAATAAACTTACGTTTGTTCTAAAATGTAGATGTTATCCTGAGGTTGTGGGTTCGAGTCCCATCGCGGGTGCTGATTTTTTTTTTCTTTCTCTTTTAGAAACGAAAGAGGGTATATAAATTTTTGTTGGAGTTAGGTGACTTTTTGCTTTGCTGGGAGACATTCAGTATGCGCAACCATCGAAAGGCGGCCTTTGTATAGATGGCTTGTATGTACTTAGCAAAGACCCAGGGCCACTTAGCTTGCCAGGAGTCTCAATGTAAAAGACAATAACGAAACAATATAGACCATAGGAAAGGAAGAAAGGAGCGCAGTATAATAACCGCAGTATACCTTTCATAGCCTATATATAGGGCTTCACGGACTCTCTGGCATCTTATAACTGTCTTCTATTGGCTAAACTAGACCTTGCTCCCTCTTAGGTTTTAGGTTCGTTTAGAATCTCAGGTAAACGAAGAGAAAACGGACGAATTTTAGAGAACTTTAGGAAAATGGAGAAGGGAGTAAGTAGAATACTAGCTAGTTAATTCTTAAATCTAAGAAGAGGAATGTTGAGTAATAGCTAGCAACTTAATCCTAGTAGCCCTAGAGGAAATTAAATAAAACATCCCATATCTTCAGAACAGTGTAACAATAATAGTAGTAGCTAGCTCACTGCGTTACAAAATTAAGAGCTCTATTTAGCAGTAAAGTCTCAGTCTAGTCCAGGCGAGGCGTAGAAGAAAATACTTATCGCGTAGCGAAGCATGCAAATTATGTTCTTCGGAAGGGGATTTCATCGCAAAAGAAAGCAATAACGTTAATTGGATAAAACCCGTGTACGGTACTCTAGGTTCCCAATGGCCTCATTGTATAGAAATCATATAAGCAGCCGTAAGCAGCTAACGTACAGATTCTTCTGCACCCTATGGAAACTTTGGTTAAGCTGACGTTACCCTGGCGCTAAACCAACATTATCTAGGAAGATTGAACAGCGGTAGAGAAGGGATGAAAGAGGGGTTCGAGAGGGAACCCCCTAAGGAGGCCCGGGCTGGGGCTAGCCGGCCATATACTAATTTCCTCTATTTATATATAGCTTAGCTGAGCAGTAGTAGATTTGATGATGAGTAGTACCAACTTATGTTCGCAACAGCAGCCAAACTAGGTGAGTAATAATAGTAAGTTTAGTGAGCTGCAGCCCACTCGTAAGAGCAAAAGCAGCCAGTTTATATTAGCATGGCCCTTATCATCTGTGCTCCATATTATGACTTGCGCCGCTGAGCTGTGCGACCTTTATTCCTGGATTCCAGTTTTGTATTTACGACTCAAGAACATGCTTATAGTATAAAAAGGGGCTTTGAGACAAGTTAGAATAAATCCATATAGAGACCATCAAACTTGAAAGGGCGTCTACTCCCAAGATACAGAAGAATACACATACAAATAGAGAGACAAGTAAGACAAGTGTTAAGTTCCCGGCGATAAATATGTCGTATAATAACCCCCCTTAGTTTCAGGAACATACTTGAACCTAGAAATAGCCGTGCTCTCTATACCGTGGGCTTCAACAAAGGGAAGCTAAGTAACTCCTCACAATCCCTAAAGAGTACTAGGCCGAATGGACGTGTCCCTGAAAATAATTGAGGAGCCAGTAGAGGTGGCCCGAAAAAAAAATTTATACGGATATGTCGAAATAGCGTTTCAATCGAGGGGTTCTTAGCGCCCTGAAAGAGAACACGCTTTAATATCTGGCACCACCAAGTACTCATCAGCGTGGAGTTGGTTGGAATAGAGAATAATGGAGGTCTTGCGTGTAACGCAACCCGTCTGTATGAATAGAAACGCAGAGAAGCATAGAATGCTCAGTTTGACAATTTGGACGGATGCTATGGTTGAACAACACTAACTAACCTAGAGAAAGAAGTTGCCTTCAGATAAGTCTTAAAGCTATGTAATTATTTAAAAAGAATTCGCGTCTCGTAGAACAGGCATGATGTAGAAAAGATAACAAATAAGATCAAGACTAGAAAAGAAAGGAATGAGTGGAACAAAAATACCTAGGTTGAAAAAATAATGGAAAGTATGGGGACGGACATCCATAGGAAGGATAGAGCTAGCAGAAGAACAGCGGCTAAAATCATAAAGTTATCCACAAAGACGATATCACATCAACAAGAACGAAGAGAGGTAGGTGTTCCACCTCTCAGGAATTGAGCCTGCAATCGTAAATATTCTGGGGCCCCGTACGCCACTTCCGCTAATACCAAGGCCGCCCGAAAAGCAAAGGCAGAGAGCATACAAGGGAGGTTGAGGGAGCATACGTAATAAGGTAACTGGAGCTTGTAAAAGCAAAAAGTGGTGGTTGTTAATACGAACGAGGAAAAGTCGCGAGCACGATTAGTATCCAAACAGAAGCCGCAGGATCACTCTACCGCAACACCCTTGCACCTGACACCACATTCACACTTCAAAATTTATGCGTGAGGGCATTTACGTTAACAAAAAGACGAGGTCAATGTGGGGATCGAACCCACGACCTTGGCGTTAACAAGTGATAACTATTAGCACCACGCTCTAACCAGCTGAGCTAATCGACCGACCACGCTGATTGGTGTTGAAATAATCTCACATATCAATTTTTGAAAGGAAATGAAAAAAGTGGGGACAGAACGAAGTGGAGACGTAAAGAGGAATCTCGTATATTGGTGATTAGTGGTTTGAAGAGTAATCAAAGATACTAGTAAAGCGTTTCTGGGGAGTAGGGTTGTGGGATACAGATATGGAGGTGCGGAAGAAGTGGTTAAGTGGTATAAAGATGGGAGATGGGAGACCGAGAGGGGAATGGTTATCCGCCATTGGCGAAATCTGAATGAAGTGGAGAGGTTGTATTCAAGGATTGCTACTATCAAAAGCAGTTGAGCAGGTGGTCATCTGCAATCCAAACGACCGAGAGCATCAAGATATGTTGGTACATAGTTCAATTTGGGATGAGACCAGATATTCTGAGATAAGGTATCATGTATCTATCCCATGAAGTTCAAACAACCAAAAGCAAGAGCTGCCGATCTAACAAAAGCAGAAAGCGGTTGGTGAATTGGGGGTTGACAAGAACATACCATACTAGACTCTGAAGCCTCCCTCCCCACAAGGAAACGCAAAATCCCCTGAATACAGAAAAGTGAACAAGCTCTCATCAATGAAGGGATTGAATGAGCAACCAAGTGTATCTGCGAGACCATAGAGGTTAGCAAAGGCTTCATAGAGAACTTGTTGAAGATAGCGAAAAGAAGTGTGATCAGGGCAAGGAGTGTATTACTCCGCAAAGCTGCTCCGCATGAAAAGAGTACAAGTCTTCTAGGCCTGGTGCCAGCTGGTGTTTCATCATTCGAAAGATGTGAAAGGAAATGTAAAGGCACTTACATAGAACTGGAAAGGGACTTGAGGTGCACCGGAAGGTTCGAAATCCATCGTGCGCGCGGAAGCCGAAGAGGAGTAATGACTGAAACATGGGGTTGGAAGTGATGTACAGTTCCAGGTGGCTGACTGTAGTACCTAACTTGCGGCATCTGGAAGCGCTCGTGGTGTATACCGTCGTATACAGCTAAACAAATTTCCTGGATATCGATTTAAGCGGAAGAAACGAAAGAGACATTACCTACAAAATACAATGAGCATGTCTTGTAACCGGAGAGAGAATTTGTTAGCAGTAGCATCGACGACTTTCTTGGTCGGATCCGCCTACACCTAGAATGTATGGTTAGGTGCGCCAAATGCCCCCGCAACAACAAAAACGAGCAAATCTGGGACTCTCTGGTGACTGGAGCGCGCATAGGGAATTGCGCACTACTATTGTTCTGTATGTCCACGCATTTGGCATCTCCCAAGTCACGCTTCAATGGACAGATGTTTGCACAGTTCGAAGTGTTCCTTTGTAAAGCCTGTCTACCACCGTGATTCGTATTATCATGACGCCCCTAGTGGTTCCCCAGCAGAAGTGGTATATGCCGAGGTAGCGTCACAAAACCATGGTGACGAGTCGTGAACCCAGAATTGAGATATGCATTTGGAATTGACCGCTGACCCGTTTTATGAAACCCCGACAAAGGCAAAATGGTGAAGGAAATGGCGAAGGGAAGTCGTTTAGTCGAAGAGACCGAAGCCCATATCCTCGTCGGACTCTTCCTTCTCTGTTGTGTATTAGTGCCCGTCTTCGAGAATGGAAGATGTGGTCTCGGGAATGACATACCCTCCTCCTTCTCCTCCTTGGTCTCCTCAGCCGCGGCGGCACCGCCAGCGGCAGCAGCACCACCAGCTGCGGGAGCAGCGGCGGCACCTCCACCGGAACCGACGTTCAGGAGGAGCTCCTTGACGTCCTTGCCCTCAAGAGCCTGCCTGTAATCAGCTTCCAAATCCCTCAATTGTATAGCATTCTGCGATGCGCACCTTGGCGAACAGAGTTGTCCATATCGGCTCGACGTCCTGGATCTTTGCGGCCGTGATGAGAGACTGGAGCTTGTCGGCCTGGTACGAATTAGTTCAATGTCGCAAATTCGGGTTTGGCATTTTCCGAATGCGTACAGTGATATCGACACCGTCATCGGCGAGGATGAGGGCCGCGTAGGAAGTGGCAAGCTCGGCGGTAGACATTGCGACTGTGTTGATCGTGGGTTCGTCGAATCGTGATAAGGGGCCGGTCGATGATTGAAGAGAGCAGAGGTTCACGATAGTTTTGGGGCTTGGTGGTTTTGTGGGAGGCCGGTCTATCATCGGCAAAAATTAGGCGAGGCCCCGACGCCGGTGTCTATCACGTGACAATATCCCGCGGCTCTCGCAACCAAACGTCACAGGGTCTACTCCGCTCACTGCCGCTTTCCCAAATGGTGAGCGCACCACTTTGACAGCCTCAGATCTACATCCACCAAATCTTTCAAATACCTCGCATCCACCACCGCAAACACGGACAACTGCGTCTGATTTACAATTCCGCCTCTCGACTTTTTGACCTTCGAACTGTCTTTGTATCGCTACAGCCGGACATGGCCGACTCCCCCGCAGTGCGGGCTCCGCTGGACCCTAAGGAGCAGCCCATCTTG